TCAGGCTACCCTGGGCTTGGCCTGCCCACTCCCAGGTTCATACACCACTCCTCTGTAGTTCAATAAACAAGTCCTTCCAGAGCAGCTGGTCGGGAGGGGAGAGATGGCTTGTTTTCAAACCCAAAGAGGACACTCGCCCTGCTTGTGGCGCGAACTGGGTTGGGGTGCGGCAAGGGAGGCTATGCTCAGTGGCCCGGGATCTGGCTCAGAAACACTGTGACCATTGTCTTTAGAGGCAACAAAAGGGGTTGTTGAAAAACCAAGCTTTAATATAAAGCCAAAAATCTGTGCTTGTCATTTGGTGTTTATTTGGCATTCAAGTACGGCAGTCATTCTCAGCTCTTGCTGCTATTTATGTTTAAAGGAAGGCCCATAGCCCCGGAATGGGAGCCAGCTTCCAATATCTCACGCTTAAAAAAACACCACCAAAAATCCCACTATCGTTTCTACTCCTGTGTCCTGTGAGTTCCTGTCTGAACCTTCGGGGCTGGTGAGTGACAGGTCAGTGGGCTCCTCAACACCAGAGCCTGCTAACCCTCCTGGACAGTTCTTTGATAACTATATACACATTTGTATTTACTTGGAGGAGGGGGACAACATTCCTTTGCCATTGGGTCAGATTTTCCTGTGTGAGCTTTCTTTCTCTCTCTGTGGTTCTAGTTGGGCAGTTCTTGTCAATTAGCAGGAGGAGGGAGCGTATGAATCATTGTGTAGTTTGTTTCAGCTTCTTGGTTAACAGTTATATTGGGCCGCTGGCTTATGGGAAACAAAGTTAACCTAATCTTGAACATCAGAGGAACCCACAGGAATTAAGGTTACATAACTGCTGGACAGAATGGGAACTGGAAGGCAGGGTGATGGAGCGGTGCTGGTAACTTGCCAACAGGCAACGGTCACTTCCCTGTTAATTGGTGCTTGCAGAGCAGACCCATTTCTCTATGGTCATCAATTTAAGAATAGACATGAACAGACATTTCTGCAAAGAAGGTATCCAAATGGACAACAGACACATGAAAAGGTGCTCAACATCACTCGGCATCAGGGAAATCCAAATCAAAACCTCAATGAGATTCCTTCCACCTCACCCCAGTCAGAATGGCTAAAATTAACAAGTCAGTTAACGACAGATGTTGGCGAGGATCCGGAGAAAGGGGAACCCTCCTACACTGTTGGTGGGAATGCAAGCTGGTGCAGCCACTCTGGAAAACAGTATGGAGGTTCCTCAAAAAGTTGAAAATAGAGCTACCCTATGACCCAGCAATTGCACTACTGGGTATTTACCCCAAAGACACAAATGTAGTGATCCAAAGGGGCATGTGCACCCCAATGTTTATAGCAGCAATGTCCACAATAGCCAAACTATGGAAAGAGCCTAGATGTCCATCAACAGATGAATGGTTAAAGAAGATGTGGTATATATATATATATATATATATATATATATATATATATATATATAATGGAATATTATGCAGCCATCAAAAAATGAGATCTTGCCATTTGCAATGATGTGGATGGAACTAGAGGGTATTATGCTAAGCGAAATAAGTCAATCAGAGAAAGACATGTATCATATGACCTCAATGATATGAGGGATTCTTGTTTCTCAGCCTACCGACCAGATCTCCTGATTACGAAAGCCGCATTCTTTTTCAACATATCAGCTGACATCATGAAATGTTGACCGATAGCCAAAACATAATGATCCAAGAATTGAAATACAATAAAATGATAACATGTCATCCTCTGAAAAATCTTTAAGGTACATTCTGGTTCTGCAACTCACCCAAATTCTGACTGGAAAAAGAACAAATGCCAGGGAGAGTCGTTGCTGCTTCCTGTGGGCCTGACAAGGTGCATCCTGCCCTCACCTCCCCCCGGCCCCCAGTCCAGACCCCTTATTTTGGCTGTTAAAACCTGATTTTCACTTGAATTCAGTGGAGCCCTTCACTTAATTCTGTCTTGAAATAATTTAGGCTGTCTGTCTTATCCATCAAACCTTACATTCAAAGATGACCCAAATGATATCTCCTTTCATCCATGTTAAAAATGTTCACAATAATGGATCATCTCAGGCAAAGTGCTATTGGAGTTCCTGGCCTAGGGAACCTACTCAAAATACTTCCTTTTCTTTCTTCTTTTTTTTTTTTTTTTTTTTAAGATTTTATTTATTTATCTGTCAGAGAGAGAGAGAACACAAGCAGGGGGAACGGCAGGCAGAGGGAGAAGCTGAGCAAGGAGCTCGATGTGGGGCTCTACCCCAGAACCCTGGGATCATGACCTGAGCTGAAGGCAGCCGCTTAACTGACTGAACCACCCAGGCACCCCTCAAAATCCTTTCTTAACCAAATTTCGGAAGACCCAATGAAAGCTGAAGAAAGTATCTATAGGATCTTATGAAATCCCACTCAGCCAACTAGCCGGCTAAAGTATAGCTGTTCTGTCAGTAACAGCCTTGGTCTATGAAGGAAGAGCCTGGTGACTTTATGTCTTGAAGAAATTAGTTATTCAATAAATATTCATTGATGGTGAACAACATGACTGGAAATATTTCTCTTTGGGGTTTTATTTTCCCAAACACCTTTACAAATTGATATTTGTGTAGAATATTGAATATCAATATTTAAGAGACTCAGTACAACTCTGGTTCTGAGCACTTCCTGTTTCCAAACTTTTGTTTGTTTTCCAGTGAGAATGTATAGTCATCCATTTTTAAACTCTGGTTTTCGTGCATTTAAACAAGGCTCCCCTGGAGGTAGGAATGCCAGGGCAAGAATTAACCAGATTGTAATCTTTGTGCCTGGCAGTCTGACATCACTTGGGAACTCTGCCAAAATTCCTTTGGAAGCAGATGTTCCTAGAGGGGGAACGGTAATCATTTATCCTCTTACATTTGTTGGGTAAAAGCTGATTCATGGGAAATACAAAGACTTAGATTACAGTTACAAACAATTCACTAGAGATGTACCTTTTCAGAGAGAATAAACACGATTATTTTTTTAAAACATTTCCTCCCCCCTCTGTCCCACAATTTCTCATGTTTTAATTCCTACTTTCCCACCTACTTATTGTCAGGGAGGAGTTGTCATGCATTCGCCCCCTCCGCATTGCAATAGCTCCCATGTCAATATGTAGGTCATCTACAGATCCTAGTAATTTTCCAACTGCTAGTCTAGCATCCAAATATACACTTCAAGGGGTGCCTGGGTGGCTCATTTGGTGAAGTGACTGACTCTTGATTTTGGCTCAGGTCATGATCTCAAGGTTGTGGGACTGAGCCCCGTGTGGGACTCCACACTCAGCATGGAGCCCACTTAAGATTCTCTCTCTCCCTCTCCTTCTGCTCCTCCTCGCCCACTCACATTCACACACACAAACGGGCGCACGCTCTCTCTCTCAAAGAAAACAAAAACAAAATATAAACTTCGAGCCCTCTTTCTTGTATTTGTATATTGCCTCTTTCAGGCAAAAAAAGTGCAATTAAAACATAAAACTCCAAAAGGGCCAAGTCTGTTGATAATTTATAAACAAGGAATAAAGTGGGGTCCCTGTCAACACTGATTATAATGGCCTTTGGTTACTACAAAGAGTGAATGTGTATTGACATATGTATCAGGTGAATATTGCCTTTCATAAAAAAAAAAATCAAGATTTTTAATGTATTTTTTTGCTTTCAAGGAATACATGAAATTTGGAACATAAAGCTGAGTGAAACTGATGTAAGACTCATTTGTACTTGTCTAAATCTCTAGCCAGTTACTATTTACTTTTTGGCAGTTACCATTTCTTCCTTGGCAGTTACTATTAAACTGAATGAGTAATCAACTACTGGTAGAGATGCAAGTTCATCCAGAGGTGAACAACTGCTGAAGCATCCTACCCAGGAAGTCTTGGGGACCTTTCGTGTAATTTGTGGTGTGTTTTGTAGTTTTTCTGCATCATTTGAATTTGCTTGTTATGTGTTTCAAACATGAAGTATTTAGAGAACTAAAAAGAAAATATATTAGAACAAGTTTCCTCCAGAAATTGGATAGGGGAATTCTATAATGCCATATATAAATCCCACTAAATGTCAATAGCTATTCCAGAAATATCAAGCTGGTACTTTTTCTTTTTTTTTACTTAACTGGGAAAACAAGGCTTTCTAGCCTGTATCTGATTTAATAAATGGAAAGATCTCTATAGATGCTCCCTCTTTAGAGTCCAAGCTTATATGTTTATTTCCAGAGTCTGTTCCAACACCCCGTTGGCGTTACGGTGGAGAGAATGAGCACTGGGTAGAAGACCAAAATGGAGAAAACAAGGCTGAGCTTTAGCTCCCCTCTCTGAGTTCATGTCTGAAAAAATTGATTTGCCGTTAGATGAACCAAATAATGCCCCGTCTTCAAAGAAGTGGGAGAGCAAGTTAGTGGCCTGCTCAACATTTCTGAGGTAGCCTCAAGAATAAATTGACTAATATAGTCAATCACTGTTATGTTTTTAAAGCTCAATATCAGTTATGCCAAAAAATTCATGATTGCATGCTCTTGATTTTTGCAAACTCTCTTTAGCCTCAAGATGTTTAAGTGATTCTTATCTATAGGTTATCTCATTTTAGAAACCCGAAAGTGAGCCCACAGATCATTTCAGATACCCTAAGGGAATTCTGCAGCTAATCCCACCCTGGCAAAACATCAGAATTAAACTTTTGATTACAAAGATACGTTCATGGTAGAATAAGCATTTTCTGTTCTCCAAACGTCCCGCTCTAGAGTATTATCTTACTTGCTTTACGATGCAGAACTTGCCTGAGGTTTGTTACCTGCCTGAGTGCTTGAGTGTCTCCTTACTTGCTTTCTGGGCGACCAGTTGCTCTGATTTGACTGGGACTGAGGGATTTCTCAGACCTCCGGGATTTTTATGCTAAAACTGGGTCAGTCTCAGGCAAACTGCTCAATCACTTTCTGAGCCAAGTCCTGGCTGTGTTATCAGGCATTTCTGCAGCCTGGAGGTCAGCGTACAAATCAGCATCTCCACATCGGGGAACAAGCAACAGTACTACCTGGCTCTGTAGCACACGGGTGGTCTCCTCAACCTCCCCATTCTAGTGCTTACCACAGTCCACTCCAGATAGATTTTCATCTCTTCCAAAGCTTCCATTCAAAATTCTGGCTCTGACTACTGATATTTCCAAGAGTAGCCCGAGGAACGGTGCGTCCTCCTCATTTTCTTTATTTCTTCTATATTTATTGCTCAATCACTTTGCACCAGGCATCGGGTTAAGCGATGTTGTAAATGAGGGCAGACCCTGCTCACCACAGGCATAGAGTCTGGGAAGGCAAATACGTGAGCCAGCAATTATTTACAAAGCTTTGTCCCTTTGTCAGGCCTGGCCAGGACAAAGCTATCATCTTGGAATAAATTCTGTTAGCTTCACACTCCCCACCATCACAGACTTGCCATTTAGCATTATGCTAATTGGTCATATGAAGAATGACTGTGCTTTTTTAGGACAAAAGGTGAAGACTGTCCCTTATACCACTCAGTGTTCATAATACAGAGACCTTCACAGTGGCTGGAAAAACATGTCTCTGTTCTTGAACAAGTATGCTTGTTTGTGGTGGACAGTGGGAGTTGGAAACTAAGTTTCATATGCAGTTTGAAACTTACCTCCTCTTAGCCTTGGTTTAAGTTTTCTGGTAAAATTATACTGTTCCTATTATCCGGTTAAAATATTTGGATCTCTCTTTATCAAGGAGGTTTCTTGGCTCTCTTTGCAATAGAAGGGAAATACTTCTCTTTTCTCATATAGTAACCTTCCCAAGGTAGCATTTTTAAAAAGACTATAAAGGATTTTGTTTTTCAGAGGACCATTGTTCCCAAATTGGCTGTGAACCAGGGAAAAGATTCTTGCCCTAAGCTTCTTCAGTGTCCTACAACCAGACCTGCCCCATTACTCCTGACTTTTGCTGATGAAGTCTTAGGGAAGTGTTTGAGGGGCAGGGAAGGGGTGTTGGTTTTGGTCTATTTCACAGCCTTACTTCAGAGTCTGATGTCTTAGAAAAGTTTGGCACTAAAAATCTCTTTTTACCTTTCCCTACCCTTCCAGTTCTGCTTTACTACCTTAAATAATGTGTAAAACAAAAAAGTCTCCAGGTTTAACATGCGTTGCTAGGGCAACCAGAGAGAGCCACAGGAATGAAACCAAAGCCAAGGAGCTGAGCACAACTCCTTGGGTGAATCTTAGTCTTGGCTGACGCCAGATCTAGCAGGGGTGAATTGAAGTCTGCTTAGCCGTGGATGGAGGGAGAAGCCTGCTTTCTGAAACTCCTCCGGGAAGCACACCATCTTGTCATAGTGGGAAATTGCTTGTGTGTCCCTTCTGTTTCTTGTTCGAAGGAATGCCCTTTTTCCCATATTGGCCTCCTCTGCAGACATTTTCACAACAAAGACAACTCTCTAGGTCATACTTCTGGATGACTAAGCACTCCCAAAATGGGTATCGTGAGGATTAAATGTAGGTAAGACAGGTTTTTTGAGTTATAAAGGATTATGCAAATGTTAGTTATTTTTTCCCAATATCTGGAATTTGGGAAGAAAGAAGGGTAAGAGGAGGGGAAGAAAGGAGAGAAGGTGTATGCATTTCTAACCCTGAATTTCTTATAAAATTGTGGTGGAGAGGCAAAACAAATGACCTGAGGTGGAACTGGAAGGAGAGAAAAGTCACAAAGGCAGTTAAGCGTGGCCCTACTGGGTATTCTAACTACTCATCGAGTTTGCCTTGAGATGGTCCTAAAAATTGCAATTCTTCCTAGAAAGACATTTATTTTGTTGTTGTTAAGAAAATAAAAAAGGGGGCACTTGGGTGGCTCAGTCAGTTAAGCAATCTCAGCTCAGGTCTTGATCTCAGGGTTGTGAGTTCAAACCCCATGTTAGGTTCCACGCTAGGTGTGGAGCCTACTTTAAAAAAAAAAAAGAGAAACACATTAAAAAAAACAACAATAAGATAGTTAAGAAAATAAATGGAGAAGGGCCAAATCTGGTATGTTTTATAAAAGGGCCAAATGTATACAAGTTTTCCATCAATTAGAAGAGCAATTTAACCTCATGAAAACTCATTTGAGATAGAAAGACACGTTACTTTTAAACTTTATCTAATATTTCAATCATAAAAGTAAGCCATGTTTATTCTAGATTATGCAGAAAATACAGATGGAAGGAGGATATTTTAAAAATTTGTTCAAAAATCCATCATCCCAGGGCAATCACTGTTAACACCTTAAAGTATTGGCTACCATTTTTCTTTTTAAAAATCAAAATTATGCTCACTTGGTCTAAAAAGTTTGTCACTCTTCCTAATTCCCTTTATTGGAAATAACTAATTTCATACTTTTTAAATTCTTTTGGTATTTACCTCCAAATAATGTTTGTATGTGTTCTTTTTTTTTTTTTTTTTTTAAGATTTTATTTATTTGACAAGGAGAGACACAGCGAGAGAGGGAACACAGCAGGGGGAGTGGGAGAGGGAGAAGCAGGTTTCCTGCTGAGTAGGGAGCCCGATGCAGGGCTCAATCCCAGAACCCTGGGATCATGACCTGAGCTGAAGGCAGACGCTTAATGACTGAGCCACCAGGTGCCCCTGTTTGTATGTATTCTTAAGTTTCAGACATTATCTATGGCCTCTCCCCTCTACAATATACATGTACACATCTTCCCAAAATTGTTATGTGCGATTTTGGTTGATTGTTATTCTGTATTTACATTGTTACTATATGTATGCTATTTAAAGTTGAGATTCAAAATTGAACTATAAGGTATGCTATGATTACTTTTCCTTTTTTTGAACAACTTGGCAATTAATTATTTTTATTTTCTTATTTATTTTCTAGGTATAAATGGGTAGATCCAGGTTTTGTCAGCATGGACATTATATAATATTGAAAACCCACTACAAAAGAGAATACAAATCACAAATTTTCAAAAGCTGGAAGGAGCCAGGATTCCTAAATTAGTATTTAGAGGAAAGCCATCTACATATCCGGTACTTTCCTTTTGGGCTTTATGCTACACACAATCATTATTCTATATGGGTTTGATTGTTTTAGCAGCTAGCATGCTATTATTTAATTTCTTCATCATAGCCCATCTTTAAGGTGCTATTTTTTCCTCTTTGTTTTGGTCTCTATCGCTCATGGTAAAGGCTTTTCTCAAGTGTTGGGTTATACTTGGTTGTCTGCTCATTTGTGAGAGTCAGGGTCTAAAGAGCTAATTGGTAGTTTTAGCATATGACCTTTCCTGTAGGGTACTCTGGTTGGCCCATGTTAGTATTTTTAGGGATTTTTTTTTTTGGCGGGGGTGGGGGGGGTGGTGGTGGTTAGATTTCCCAGTGAGGGCTCTTTCATCTTTTATCTGAAGAGTGAATTCCTGGCTGCCAGTGTTCTGCGTGTTGAGTGGAGAAAGCCAGCTGGAGAGTCTCAGAATTTGCTGTTTATGGGATCACTGAATCCCTCTAGTATAAAAATAGTTTAATTTCTAGTCTTTTCATTCTTAATGAGGTTGAATAGATTTCCTTATATTTGTTTTTAAGTTAAATATATTTTTGTGTGAGTGTTCTGAAAACTAAAAGTATTGCCCCCATTTTAAGAACGAGGATTATAAAATTCACAAGGGAAAAAGGGAAAAGAACTGACACAAGCTGAGCTTCCAGCATGTTCTGGAACCTTGCTGGGTATTTTACAGGTATTGTTTCCTTAAATTTAGCTCTCAAAATCACCCATATAGAGTGTCAAACAAATACACATTGCCACAAAATGGGAGAGCCACTTTTTAAATGTTATTTTTACACATCCAGAGAGCAGAAGAGTTTTATAATATAGCCTTTCTTCCTCAGAAATATTACTAAGGCAGATGAATTTCCAAAATCATTAAACAAAACAGTCCTCTTCCAAAAATAATGATTAAAAAAAAGCCATTTTGAAGGGTCAATAAGGATATACTTTCTATCTTAACTTGGTTGTTATCAAGTGCCTGTCACAGTATGTAAGTTGTCAGGGCTGTCTTTGTGGATTGATTTCCCCAAGTGGGAAGGAAGGTAGGGAGCTGGCCCATGAGGGAGTGTAGAGATGGAATTCAGGGTCAACCTGTGAATTTATTATGCCACACAACAAATCCCCTAAGGCCCTGAGAGGATAAACAAGCATGAATTTCCACTCAGTGTTTCTCAAGATTGCATTGAGAACACAGGAGTTGAGAAACAGCAAAGAGATTCTCTGAATATGGTTAAGTTAATTCAATCCAACACATGTGCGATGAGCCAATTGCTGGTGCTTATCTTACCTGACCTATCAGCTGCATTCAACATATTTGATGATGCCTTCCGCCTTGAAACACTTTCATCATTGGGCATCCAGGATACCACAGCTTCCGATATTCTTCTACCTCTCTGACCACCCCTTCTCAGGCTCCTTTATCATTTCTATTCCGACAACTCCAAGATGTATAGCTTTGATCTAGAATTCTCTCCTGCATCCTAGAGATAAAACGGGTGAAAGCCAAAGACTAAGAGAGAATCTTGAAAGCAGCAAGAGAGAAGTGACCGTCATGTACAGGGTGCTTTAATAAGATTAACAATTTCTCATCAGAAACCATGGAAACCAGAGGGCAGTGCAGTGACATATTTAAAGTGCTGAAAGAAAAAAAAAACAAAAACCCTGTCAATCAAGAATTTGTTATCGGATAATTTTTTTTTTTCAAAAATGAGGAAGAAATTAAGACATTAAGAAGATAAACAAAAGATGAGGGAGTTCATTACCAGTAGACCTGCCCTGCAAGAAATGCTAAAGGGAGTCCTAAGTTTAAGTGAAAGGACATCAGATGGTACTCAAGTGCAGTTTGAAGAAATAAAGATCTCCAGTAAGATTAACTAAAGAAAAGATATTTTCAGGGAATATCTGTTCTCAAGGAAGAATGCCCACAAAGAGACTTCCGGAAAAATGGAATGCCAGAGAAAACGTTTACCTACTGCCATTTGTGTTCCAACACATGTTCTTGCCTAAGACTTATCCTTAGTGGCCCTCCTCCTTAGGAAAAGCCATTTACACATGAGACAGCAGAAGCAGAGATGGAGAATATGCACAGCCTGCATTCCTGGTTCACTTGCTATTACCGAACCAATTAACATTGTGAGGAGGATGAAGTATTGTCATTACTTAACCTGACTCAGAAGCCCCTGATATTTTTATTAGGTTTTCTTTAAAATAAAGCAAGCATACGCATATTTTCCAATGCTCTGTGGCACACTAATGTTATTGAGCATCTCTTCAGGCAAAAAGAGAATCCTCCGTTTACTGAAGGCACAGAAAGTTCACATTGTGAGACGTGCCCTTCAAAGATGTTGGTCAACTCAAGTAGCCTCATTACAGCATCAAAGAAACTGTCCCACCCTGGTGTTTCTTATCCATCTACCCATTCTCCCATTTACTCTATTTATGTCACGAAACCTGGCAAAGTTGGAATAACATGACGAAAGAAATAAAAACATCATCCACAACTCCATGATTTACATCATCACCATTTTGGTGTATATTTTTCTATACACAAGCACTCAAATATTCATCAAACTGGGATCACTCTTACACTCTTTTATAATCGCATTTTTTGCTTGACTCATGCAGATATCTTCCATGATGAGAAATACATTTCTTTATCATTTTTTATGGCTTCTTAGTATTCCAGCCTAGCCTATCATGCCATAAGTAGTTTAAGTGTTCCTTTATTAGTGTCCATGTGTGCTCTTTCTAGTACTATAGACAAGGCTGCATGAACATCCTTGTTTATGTATCTTTGGACTCTCAAAAGTGGGGGTGACTCCATCACAACATAGTGTCCCAGCGTAGTCCATGGCATCAGAGTCCCAGATGGCAGAATTCTAGGTTTCCAAGGTGCCCAGAGAACCTCTTCCTGGGTGTCAGGTGTCTCAGGAGCTAATGTGCTCTGTTGGGATGATGAATCCGAAATGTTGCCAGTTTCTTCTCACCACGCTTGGCCTTATCCCAACTTTGCAAATCTGCCCTTTTGGGGCCAGTAGGACCACCAAGTCCTACTCCCGGGTGATTCTTTGTATTCCCATCCTTGGAGTGAAAGATTCTTTGACAGAATCCTTAAATTCAGCTGCTTCCACAGTATAGTTTAACTGCTGTGGTGTTACCTGAGCAGCTCCAAACAACTGAGCTGCCGTTATGTTCAAGCCCTTAAACTTGAGTATCTTTCCTGCTATGTATAGAAATCCACAAATCTGACTTACCAGTAACAAGTTCCCTAGAATTAACCTTATTTAAAAGAATTCCATAGCCTTGCACCTCAAAGTGTAGTCCTCAGATCAGTATTCGCATCGTCAACTTACTAAATCAAAACTCTGTAAGTTCGAGAAGCACTGCACTAGCTTAGTTTAAGGAGGACCCAACTGAACCTCATCCTGGAAGGCTAGGATTAAAGCTGGACTTCAGGTCAGCGCCTCCTGAATTTTAAGGTGCTCACAGATTCCCTGGAAAACGATGAAATGCTAACTCTAATTCAGTAGGTCCGGTTGGGAGCCCAAGATTTTGCATTTGTAACTAGCTCCCAGGTGATGCCAATGCTGTTGGTCCTTGGACCACATTTTGAGTAGCAAGAGGATAGCAGTTCTTAAAAGCTGTCGGACTGTATTACCTGAGGCACTTGTTAAAAGTACAGATTCCCTGGCTCCACTCTGGACTTGCTAATTCAGATTAATCAATTCTTCAGGTGACTTTGGCAATTAGATACGTTTAGGAAATACTGAGGTGGAGATCAGAGTTAAATGTGGTCCCTAGGAGATGAGGGGATGAGGCACTGAGAGGCAGCTGAGAGAGACTTGGGACAGACACCCATAGACATGCCTTTGTTGCTCACCTCCAAATGGGACGAGGGTGGACGGGGGTGTCCGAGCTCCCACTAGTGGTCATATCAGGTCAGGATTTGCCCCTGCGTTGATGTATAGCAGAGTCTCTTGGTTTCTTTCTGTAGTGCCTCTTGAGTGTTTATAGCATTTTCATGAACTGTAAATCAACCCCAGACTCTGTGAGCACAGACTTTCAGCGCCATTCCAAGTTGGAGTTCCCAAAAATGCCATTCATGAAGTGTTGGAGCCAGACTCACAGATTCTGCTGTTAGTTCCGCCAAGGAATTGGCTCCTTGAGCAAACAAAACACAACCCAACATCACATGGGAATCCAGAGGTTCTTGGAAGAGAAATGAGAATGTAGGGAGTGATTGCCTCTGTGGACTCTGAGTTTTTGTCCACTCTTTGGAACTCATAATTTGATTCCTGTTGCTATCAACACATCGACCTCCAGGGTGTGCTGATTCTCCTTTCTCACTAGCTCTAGTGCAAACAAAACAAAAGCTACTAATTCATTTATTCATTCATTTGACACATAATTGTGGAGCTCATAATTGCCAAGTACCTGGCTAGATGCTGTGATTCAAAGGATCGAGTCAAGTGACATAAAGTGCTTATAACAGTGTCAGATATAAAGCAAGCATTAAATATGTGAACTCTTCCAAAGGCAGGGAAAGGTGAGATATTTTGCTCCAGTTGTTTAAGACCCAACCGATGGGTCCTGCTTCTTGCTGCAAGTGCTGACTTGTCTTTCTCCTTTGAACAGATTAATTCCATGTTGCGTCAAGAAAGATTCATTGAAAGAAAGGAATAAAATACACAGATATAGTGTTTTTAAAAACATTTTTTAATGAAGAAATAATTCCATTCCAAAATATAGACACACAATTAAATAGTTTAATCACTTCAAAATATAACATGTCCCCAGGAGGTTCCAGCACACACACACACACACACACACAAAACAATACTTAACAGCAATACAAAAAAAAAACCAAAAACAAAAACAAAAAACCCATACAATAGTAGTTTTGTTACAATACCAATGAATATTGTGAAATCTTTAGTGTCTCTGAATTGGTTATTTCAAATGGTGTCAAATGACAGTAGTCATAATTAAAAATGTCTTATGGTTAATTAGCCTCAAGATGGAACATTTCTGATTTTTTTTCTCTTTTTGGTTCAAAAGTAAAAAGGCCCTTTCTTCTGAGGACACAGTGGAGTTCTTGTTTGTGGCTCCTTGCGTGGACTCAAACCAAGGTGATTGCAGCAACCAAAGGTGCCGTATTTACAAGGTCTCTCTACAGTTAACAGCAAAGAACTAATAAGGGTGGACAAAGATGATCAAAATAAAAGCAGACATCAGTGCTAAATTATGATGCGACAGTTCGGCTCATGCATATAAGAAAATACATAGTATATCACAACAAAGGCCACACTCTTATGCAATTCAGTTCACATTACTACTTACAAATGAACCTTCCCTGCCTTATAGAGATCACTCGAGAATCCATTTTTCACAATCTCCAGCACATCTCCCTCTGACCAACCGAACTTACCCAGACTTGCGTCCTGACCAACTGCAACTGATTCCTGAATCTCATACAGATTTTGCCCTCCTCCCTCCCTCCCTCCCTCCCTCCACATGGCGCCGTAGGGGAGGTTGGCTGTGTTAGACCAGTGCTCATTAATAGGCCATCATCTGTGATGGAGATGGATGTGCAATTTATTGTGGAACAAGAAAGAAATAATCCCCGCAAGATGTAACTGTATCTCCTGGATAGGACAGGTGAAACCTGCTGGGTTTGCACTTAAAACAGGTCCCAAAAGTAAATCTGGAGAGCCAAGGAAAGAAACCCCCCCAAAACCACAAAACCCCAAAACAATACACGCCATTTTGTCTCGGTTACAGGACAGGGGTGCTTGAGTCTGGTCTCAGTGCTGACGTGGAGCTAAGGGAAAGAAAAGGTGGCTGGTTAGTCAGGAACTGGTCACTGGCGGCACTTTCCGGAGTCCTTGCAATGGCTTGTACCATGCTATCGACAACCATGTCGTGGAGTTGGCAATGAAAACTATGACAAGGGGGACAGTTATCAGCAGAACGGTTCAAACCTTAGACAAGCGTTTTGATGCAGAGACAGAGTGACAACAGATGTCAGCTCAGTCCAGTCAGGGGCTGAATGCCACTTGCAGGATCCGAGTTCCGAGTTCCAGAACTACCTGGCTATGAGTTAGAGCTGACAGCAATGTAGGTAGCTGGCATGGAGTGGTTTTAAGTACTGAGTATGAGGCACGAGGGGCCACCTGCCCCATCTAGAGAGGTATGGTTTCACAGACGATGGGCAGTGGAAAGGAGATGAACATTAAGATAAACCAACAAAACTCATAATCAAATCCATCTGTGCAAAGAAATCTGAGAACTGTGCAGTTGTGCCCTTTGGTGTCAGCCTGTTCTCAGGGACATTTGTCAGGCTGCTTCTCTGGGGAAGTATGAAGAAGCACATCAACGGACAGAATGGGCTTCTTACTAATGCCAACTGAGAGCTTTGCTATCCCCGAGGCAAGTGATTTCGTTCCAAAGGGCAGCCAAGGACATGGTTTCTGACCAGATGCAGAGACACGACCAACTCAGAGCCCTCTGGAGAGGGACCTGGAAGGTGTCAGGATGTCTGTTCTCAGCTGGGCACACACCAACCACCAACTATGTGGGGGTGGGAGAAGGTTTCTGCCAGCCCCGGAAGCAAAATCGAATTGCTGAAGCTTTGAGCTTGACTCAGAGCCTTTCTTGCTTATTCTGAATAAGGCCTTTTTAGAGATTTTATATGCAACTTTATTCTCAACCTTTAGCATGCATCAGGAATCACCTGGAGGGCCCATTAAAGCACAGATGGCTGGGCCCAATCCCCAGAGTTTCGGATTCAGCAGGCCCGGGTGGGGGTTTAAGAATTTGCATTTCTAAATAGATTCCCAAAGTGATGCTGATGCTGCAGGTCCAGGACACACGCTTTGAGGGCCACTGTTCTAAAATGACGTTCTCGCCTTTCTTTTAAAGGAGATAGGAATTCCAGAGAAGCTGCCAATTTAAGTATAACATATTCAATATGTTGCCGGATTTTTATTTCATCCAGTCTTGCACCAAGTAGATTATGTTTTCATTTCCCCAGACTCCCTAAGGGAGGTCTTTAAGGCTACCTGACAAGGGCCCTCATAAAGGACCATCCACAGAGGCTTTCATTCTTCCTTCTTCCACCGTGCTTTTGCACATCAGCTTTTCGCTGAGTGCAAAATCCCAACGCCACTTAGAAGAGCCCGTTTCCTCTCCCATGACCACAGAAGGCTGCATGCAGAACACCAGGTAGCCAGCT